AGCCATGCCAGCCTCTGAAGGACAGAGGTGTCCTTCATCGGAGGCTGCTGCCTCTGAGATTCTCCGAGGCTTTGTATGCAGACATCTGCTAGGCAGCAACGGGCAACGGCCTCCATCTGTTGCAGAGATACGGCCCTGATTGACAAGCCCGATTTCTCTCTCCCAGCGAGTCCAGCCTTTCCGTTTTTCTCTAGATCCGTCCAGGGACGTTTCATTGTCCGAGTAAAGTGGCTGGGCTGCCGTTATTCTTATTCTTATTTTATTTTTTTTCCCCCTCTTCAAAAAGCTACAACAAGCATCAACACGAAGCCATCCCACGCTGGCAGGTAAGCCTGGCTTTTTGACGAGCGAGTGACAAGTGGATTAAGCAGAGATTCCTGTTAGCTCAAGGAGACGGGAGAGAGGAGGAGGAGGAGGAGGTGAAGGGGGAAAAATAAAAATCAAACCCTCCCCAGCCATTTGCAAACCGAGTTCGTCCGAAGCTGTCAAAATGTCAGTTTAAAAGCAGCTAGGAAGGAAGAGACGGGCGAGGACGGGACAAGCGAGTCGCAGGTGAGGTGACTATCCGAGAAGCTTGACGGGGAGCCTCGGGGTGTTATTAAATGCACCTCGAGAGGCCGAGAGCAAATTCACAAAGAGTGTCGTGTTTTGCAGAAGCCCTGGATGAACGCAACCCCGGTTGGCGCCTGCTTCTCCTGAAGCTTCAACAGCCGTGCATAATGTAGGGGGTCAGGTTGCCAAAGAATTGAGAGTCCCCCCCCCCACCACACGCTCCCGAGAGGTTAGAGGCAAAAACATATGAAGAACGGTGGCAGGAATTGGGTACGTCTAGTCTGATGGACTAGCAGCGTTCCAATATTTGAGGGGTTGCCACAAGAAAAAGGAGGGGTGAACCCAGGGGTGAAATGCTCCCAGTTCGGACCGGATCGCCCGATCCGGTAGCGATGGAGGCGGGTGGTTCAGAGAACCAGTAGCAAAAATCCCTGCCCCCCCCATTGCCCAGCTGAGCCGCGCAATATCAGAGGCTTTGTTTTATTATTTTTAAAGGGATTTTTTTTTACAACCTCTTCAGCAGAAGAAGTTTATTTATTTATTTATTTATTTTATTTTATTTTATTAGGCTTATATGCCGCCCTATCTCCAATGGACTCAGGGCGGCTCACAACAATGAAACCACAATCCAATGCAAGATTAAAATGCCTAATTAAACAAATACAGTTAAAACCCGTAAAAACCCCATCAGTCCAGGCCGGGGAACTCGAAAAGCCAAGCTTTTAATTCGCGGCGAAAGGTGCGAAGTTGTAGACAAAATGGTTTCAAAAATTAAAAAAAAAAAAAGTTGGCCACACCCACTCAGTCATATTACCCCTCCCCTCCACCAAGCCAAGCCCACAGAACCGGTAGTAACAAATTTTACATTTCACCACTGGGTGAACCTATTTTCCAAAGCCCCTGAAGGCAGGACAAGAAACAATGGATGGAAACTAATCAAGGAGAGAAGCAACCTGGAATTAAGGAGAAATTTCCTGACAGTGTGAACAATTAGCCAGTGGAACAGCTTGCCACCAGAAGTTTTGGGTGTTGCTCTATCATTGGAGGTTTTTAAGAAGAAATTGGACAACCGTTGGTCTGAAACGGTATAGGGCAGTGATGGCTAACCTTTTTGCCGTCGTGTGCCAAAAGCGGGGGGAGCGCAGGGGGGTCGTGCCCATGCGTGCCCACACCCATAATTCAGTGCGCCCTGCCCCCCACGCATGCGTGCGTGACACCCCTGCACTCCCCACGCTTTTGGCACGCGATGGCACAGTGGGCCCAGTAGGCCCGTTTTTCGCCCTTCCCAGGCTCCAGATGCTTTCTTGGAGCCTGGGGAGGGCAAAAACAGCCTTCCCCATCCCCCCAGAGGCTGGAAACGGCCCATTTGCCAACTTCCGGTGGGCCTGGAAGGCCCGTTTTTTGCCCTCCCCAGGCTCCAGAGCCTTTCTAGGAGCTGGGGAGGGCGAAAACAGCCTTCCCCAGCCCCCTGGAGGCCCTCCGAAGGCCGGAAATAGCCTGTTTCCCAACTTCCAGTGGGTGCGGAAGGCCCGAAAATCAGCTGGCTGGCGCTGAGATAGGGCAACACTCGTGTGCCCACTGATATGGCTCCGCGTGCCACCTGTGGCACGCATGCCATAGGTTCGCCATCACGGGTATAGGGTTTTCTGCTTAAGCAGGGGGTTGGACTAGAAGACCTCCAAGGTCCCTTCTAACTTTGTCATTCTGTATAATTAGTCAGGGGAATGGCTTGCTTCCAGAAGTTGTGGGTGCTCCATCACTGGAGGTTTTCAAGAAGAGGTTGGACAACCATTTGTCCAAAATGGTATAGGGTCTCCTGCTTGAACAAGGGGTTGGACTAGAAGACCTCCAAGGGCCCTTCTAACTCTGCTCTTCTGTTAATTAATCAGTAGAAGGGCTTGCCTCCAGATGTTGTAGGTGCTCCATCAGAAGAGGTCTTCAAGAAGAGATTGGAGAGCCATTTGTCTGAAATGGTACAAGGATTTCCTTCCTGAGAACGGGGTGGGCTAGAAGACCTCCAAGGTCCCTCCCAGCTCTGTCATTCTGTTAAGAGTAAAACAGTGGCACTTCAAGGCAGTACCAGAAAGGGGAAATCTACAGGAAAGTGCTGCTGCAGCTCCGGAAAAACTACAATCCAATTTGATATTCTTTAACGTCTCTTTGGCGATACAAAAGTAGGGGAGAAGGAAAGCCACCGGGTTCCTGACACAGGCGCTTGTGCGAGTTCAGCAGCGTGGCGAGCGAAGGGACTGCCAATAATGTGTTTCTTAACAAGGAGGGGAAAAATAAAAATAGAAATTCCCTGTCGACAGCCTGTGCCCCCTTCTCTCTCCTGACGATCAGAAGAAGTGGCACCATAAAGAAATATTCTGAAAAAAAAGCCGACATTTCCCTCCCCGCAAAGATCACCCTAACAACCCGCATTCCGAAGGCAAGAAAATTGCGGTGAAAATTTTTCCATTTGACATTTCCCGCTAACTAAAAATATCAGCGAGGGGAAGGGAAGGGAAGGGGAACTGACACTTCAGCAAGATGGCATCTCCTCCAGATACCCCACGTCAGAATCGCTGCCAAAGAAATAACGACAACGGAAGTGTTCCCAAGAGCCACAGGAACCAACAAAGATAGATGAATTGTAGGTGTACGAAAAAAAATGTTTGCCCCTTGAGAGTGAAGGATCTGGGTAGCATCCTGGTCCCCCTGATTTGGGGGGGTCAGGAGATGGGTGCTGTTGTCCAAAATGCCTACAGGAAAGGCGGTTGGGGGAAGGCCAAGCTCTCCTAGATAACGGAATAGCAGAGTTGGAAGGGACCTTGGAGGTCTTCTAGTCCAACCCCATGCTTAGGCAGAAAACCCAGTAAGAGTGGTCCTCGAAATATGACCGCAATGGAGCCCCAAATTTCTGTGGCTAAGGGAGTATCAGAGTTTGTTGCAGCACACACAGTCAGACAATTCAGCAGGATTCAAAACTTCTTGATATATTCATTTATTTATTTATTTATTTCAATTTCTATACCGCCCTTCTCCAAAGAGGACTCAGGGCGGTGAACAGCCAAAGTAAAAACAGAACATACAAAATTTAAAAACAGTTTAAAATAATTAAATATTTTGGCCGTAAATTAAAACAATCCAATTTAAAATCAATTTAAAAATTTAACTATATATCAAGAAATATATATATATTGTAGAGAAGGGAAATAGCAAGTACAAACACAGCACAAAATGGAGGCCAGCCAAAGGAGGCCAGCAAATGGAAGCAGCAAAAATGAAGGAGGCAAAATGGAGGAGGGAGAAGCTAGTGCCCTCAAGCTTATATATAGAACAGTTAAGCCACGCCCAGGCTCCAAACTGTCTCTTATGGCCCCATACAACAAATACACGGGTGGTATTCAGCCGGTTCGGACAGATTCAGGCGAATCGGTAGTGGCGACCTGCGGGTGAGCACCAAGGACCTCTCCGAAGAGTCTCCGCTTGTTCCGTTCAGTAGGGCTTGTGTAGGGCAAGCTCCCAAGATACTCAGTCCCTTGAAAGCCTGGACACAGCCAGGAACATGAGCAGTTCAAGCCATATCGGTCAGCTCCTAGGAAAAGCAGATTTATCCCAAGCTAGCGACTCGGCCAAGATCTTCAGAGTATAAATGAGGAGCTGCTTCACGATCGGCCTGGCATCTGCCTGGGCATTAATCCGTTCTTTGGCTCGTCTTCAAATAAGCCCCCTCACCACCCCACCCCTCCCACGTTTCCTGGCCGAAGATACGCATATGCAAAAATGCAGCTGAAATGCAAGGACAGAAGAGGGGTGGAGGAGAGAGAGAGAGAGAGAGAAAAGAGAGAGAAGTTCAACTACCCCAGATGTCGGGAGCACTCGCAGGTGCCGAGCATATTGCTCTCGCAAACGAATGGCTACGGTGTGGGATATTCCGGCACATAGCCGACCATCTGCGCTGGAGCTTTTTGAGATCTACAACTGGTAGATTGGTTTAGCTTTGGAGGGTACCTTGAAGTGCCTTTCACGTTACGGGCAAGCTGCGCCGAGTAATTGGGAGAGGATAAACCAATCCAGGGCGTTCAGCCAAGAGGTGAAATGTTTTACAGGATTTACATGTAAAATAATAACGTTTCACACGTACAATGTGAACATGCAAAATATTTTACCTATTTGACATGTTCATCCAAGGCTCTACATGTACGCCACATTACAAAATAGATATTTTGTCCCAAAGGTGCTTTTTTCAAGAGACAACTGGACTTTCTGGTTTTTCTATGAAGAGGTTTCGCTTCTCATCCAAGAAGCTTCTTCAGCTCTGACTGGATGGTGGGGAAATGAAAGGATTTATACATTCCCCACTATCCAGTCAGAGCTGAAGAAGCTTCTTGGATGAGAAGAGAAACCTCTTCAAAGAAAAAACAGAATGTCCAGTTGCCTCTTGAAAAAAAGCAGCATTGGGACAACCATGACCAGGATGACGGAGAATCACCGTAGACATGTTGAAACTTTGGAAAAAGTTCCGAGAAGAGCAACAAAGATGATTAAAGGCCTGGAGACTAAAACACATGAAGAACGGTTGCAGGATTTGGGTTTGGCTAGAAAAGAAAAATTAGGGGGCACAGGATAGCAGTATTCGAGTACAGGTAGTCCTCGACTTACAACAGTTCACTTGGTGACCATTCAAAGTTATAACGGCACTGAAAAAAGTAACCTATGACCATTTTTCACATTTATGACCATTGTAGAATCCCCATGGCCACATGATTTACATTTGGATAGCTGAGAGTTGACTCACATTTGTGATTTTTGTTTGGGGTCACATGACCCCCTTTAGCGACCTCCTGACAAGCAAAATCAAGGGGGAAGCCAGATTCACTTAGCAAATGTTACTGATTTAACAACGGCGGTGATTCACTTAACAAATGTGGCAAGAAAAGTCGTAAAATGGGGCCAAACTCACTTAACAAATTTCTCACTTCGCAACATAAATGTTGGGCTCAATTGTGGTCGTATGTTGAGGACCACCTGTATTTGAGAGGTTACCACAAAGAAGAGGGGGTCAAGCCATTCTCCAAAGCACCTGAGGGCAGGACAAGAAGCAACAGATGGAAACTAATCAAGGAGAGAAGCAACCTAGAACTAAGGAGGAATCTCCTGACAGTGAGGACAATTAATCAGTGGGACAATTTCCCTCCAGAAGTTGTGGGTGCTCCATTGCTGGAGGTTTTCAACAAGAGACTGGACAGCCATTTGTGTGGGATAATATAGTGTTCCCTGCTACCATTATACTTCCTTCCTTCCTTCCTTCCTTCCTTCCTTCCTTCCTTCCTTCCTTCCTTCCTTCCTTCCTGTTTCTCCTTCCTTCCTTCCATCTATTCTCCTTATTTCCTCCTGTTTCTTCCTCCCTCAATCCCATCTTCCTTCTCCTCCTTTCTATCTCCTTCCTTCTTTCCAGACAAGAAGTGATAGATGGAAACTCATCAAGGAGAGAAGCAACTTAGAAGTAAGGAGAAATTTCCTGACAGTGAGAACAATTAACCAGTGGAACAACTTGCCTCCAGAAGTTGTGAATGCTCCAAAACTGGAAGTTTTTAAGAAGATGTTGGATAACCATTTGTCTGAAGTGGTGTAGGGTGTCCTGCCTGGGCAGGGGGTTGGACTAGAAGACCTCCAAGGTCTCTTCCAACTCTGTTATTCTGTTACTTGAGAGGCTGTCATAGAGAAGAGGGGGTCAACCTATCCTCACTTTACAACATTTCTTGCCCCCGTTGATAGGTGAATCCCTGCAGTAGCACAATTGTTAAGCAAATGTGTCTTTCCTATTGACTTTGCTGGTCACGAAAGTGGATCACGTGACCCCGGGACACTCTAACCGTCATAAATACAAGCCCGTTGCCAAGCCTCTGAATTCTGGTCATGTGACCAAAGGGCTGCTGCAACGGTCATTAACTGTGCAAAATGGTTACCGGTCACTTTTTCAGCGCAGTAACTTCAAATGGTCCCTAAACAAATCATTGTGAGTGTAAATTGTAAGTAACCTGCAAAGGTTTCAGTCACTTTTTTCAGTGCTGATCGAATCGTCACTGAATGAACTCTGTTGTAAGTTGAGACCTACCTGTAGAAGCAGGTATTAGTATTTAGTATTTATTAAATTTTTATACCGCCCCCTCTCCCGAAGGACTCGGGGCGGTGAACAGCCAGAATTAAAAACACACAATACAAATATTAAAATACATTAAAACAAAATTAAATTATCTTTGGCTTCTCCAATTTAAAACCCCTTACCCATAAAATTCACCCAATTAAAAATTTTTTAACGCAGCCCGGCTTGCTGAAATAAAAAAGTCTTCAGGGCCCGGCAGAAGGTCCGGAGGTCCGGGATTAGTCGTATCCCTGGGGGTAGCTCATTCCAGAGGGCGGGTGCCCCCACAGAGAAGGCTCTTCCCCGGGAGGTCGCCAGCCGACATTGTCTGACCGACGGCACCCTGAGGAGAGCCTCTCTGTGAGAGCGTGTTGGCCGGTGGGAGGTTATCGGAGGCAGAAGGTGGTCTCGTAAGTAACCGGGTCCTAAGGTATGAATTTGCAACCCAAAGGGGAAAGTTAGCCTTCGCCAAGAGAAGTGGCTGAGATGCCTCCTAAACCCTCCTAACCCCAAGTCTGGTCCTTCTGAATAGCTAAGTGCTTCAGTCCCATGCTTCCCAGCCAACATGGGAAAAAGATGTGGATGGGGGAATGAGGTTGAAGTCCAACACACCTGGAAGGCTCAAGTTTAAAGAAGATTCATCATTGTTAGGAAATGAGTATTACCTACTTTGTTGGGTTGGCAATATATAAACCCTCAATATAGCTTTAAGACTGTTGTATCGCATCATACTGTGTTCTGATTGGTTAGCTCTGTAGCCAATCTCCTTAAGAGGGAGCTAGAAACATGGTTTGTTTCTCTTTGTTGTTCTTGCTCTCTGATATCTCTGTATGCTACTGTTTGCAAATCCAGAAGAACTGTTTATTGTGAATGACTATGACGACTGGTAAGAAGACTTTGTTATAGGATTATCCCTGGACTGTCATTTTGCTATCTCCTGCTTTATATGTGTATGACCTGGACTGTTTATTGGACTGTGCCTTACTATTTCCTGAAAGTAAACACAACTCAGTGTATCTCTGTGTTGACTGTGTTTATTCATATCTACTCTCAATCGCTTTCATGTGTACACTCTTGCTATTCAAGGGTTACTCTGCTAATTCCTTAACAATCGTCAGACTGTTTGAAAGACTGAAATGCATAACCTGTTTCTCCGAAAATAAGACCCAACCGGAAAATAAGCCCTAGCACGATTTCTCAGAATGCTCGTAATAGAAGCCCTACCTAAAAAATAAGCCCCAGTTAAGATCGTCAGCAGACAGAGGCATTTAGTACTGTATTTCCCCCAAAATAAAGACCTAACCAGAAAATAAGCCCTAATGCATCTTTTGGAGCAAAAATTAATACAAGACCCGATCTTATTTTGGGGGAAACACAGTAGAATATCAAATCATAGGGCTGGAAGGGATCTCTGATGGATCTTGGTGTCCAAACCTTAATTAATCAATCAATCCATCACTTTTTTCAGTGCCGTTGTAAGTTCAGTCTCTAAATGAACAGTCATAAGTCAAGGACGATCTGTAAAATTCTCACTCCTTGTAAGGGGACCTTACTTCACCAGATGCCGGCAAATCCCACCCATTCCCTCCTCTGCTATTCTTCCCACAGATAATAAACAATAAATGGCAATTACATTATCTAATTGTACATAATTAACTCAAAATGAGAATTTAATTATAAAAAATATGTTTTTCAAATGGGGGAGGCTGGCCTTTCATTGCTTTCAACCTGCGACGTCTCAGGTGAGCAAGTTTAATTTTGTAAATACTTTTCACCGGCTTCTTTCTTTCTTTTTTTTTCTCTTTTTTTTTTTTAAAAAAAAGAAAAGAAACGAAAAAATGAGCTAGGTGGTTTAGAAAAGAATGTGAAAGAATCGAAACGAAGATGCTGCGTTCTTATGATTAGCAAAGGAGACAAAAAATTCATCCTGGTTTATCTTAGAATATCATGATTGTGTTTCTTAACTACTAAACAAGGGACTTTTAAAAAACAACAACAGCCCAAAAAGCCAAAAAAAATCATCTAGTCATTTTAGCTAATGAGTTTGCTAGTTTGTGAATCGTAAGAATGCAGCATCTTTTTTCTATAATAGGTGGTCCTTGAATTACGACCATAATTAAGCTCAAAGTTTCTGTTGCTAAATGGAATGGAATGGAATAGAATAGAATATAGAATAGTGGGATGGGATGGAATAGAAATAGATGGATAGGATAGGATAGGATAGGATAGGATAGGATAGGATAGGATAGGATAGGATAGGATAGGATAGGACAGGGTGGAATGGAATGGAATGGAATGGAATGGAATGGAATGGAATGGAATAGAATAGAATAGAATAGAATAGAATAGAATAGAATAGAATAGAATAGAATAGAATAGGTCTATTGTCACTTTGAACATACACTAATTGGCCTACATTAAAATGAAATTTAATTGCACACAGCTCTCAAAGGGCCACCACCACCAATATACACAAACAGTAAGAAATTTGTTAAGTGGGTTTTGCCCCATTTTACGACCTTTCTTGCCACAGTTGTTAAGTGAATCACTGCTGTTGCTAAATTAGTCACACAGTCGTTAAGTGAATCTGGCTTCCCCCATTGACTTGGCTTGTCAGAAGGTCGCAAAAGGGGATCACATGACCCCGGGACAGGGCAATCGTCATAAATACGAGTCGATTGCCAAGCGTCCTAATTTTGATCACGTGACCCCGGGGAGGCTGCAACAGTCGTTAAGTGTGAAAAAGGATCCTAGGTCCCTTTTTATGGTGCTACTGTAATTTCGAACGGTCACTAAGTGAATTCCTGTAAGCCGAGGACCGCCTGTATTTCTTTCCTACACAACAGAACCACAACAAAAAATAGATTTTTGACTTTTAACAACACCATCTATTCTACCTGCAAAGAAAGCATCAAGTTTCAGCTTCGATCACCAAGTAAACATCCCTTCCATATTCAAACGCACAAGAGACAAATGGATTTGTCTTCTTCGCCTGCTCTGGTTTTTACATTAGATTAAATAATTTAGGGCGCGTTCATCGGGTAACCTTTTGCAAAGCCGATGAATGAATGCAGGGAACAAACTTTCTGACATCCGTCACAACTGGCTGGCCCAGAGACGAGACGGGATGCGTCAAGGGATGCTGAAAAATTGCTCCAGGGTCTATCCGGGGGGGAGGGGAGGAGAGGATGAGAAAGAATTGAAAAGACCCCTCATCAGAGGCTCTGAATAAGTTAAGTTCCTTGGATTATGGTAGCCAAAAACCAGGAGGTGTCTGGTAAACAGACTTTCAGACCAACAAATGTGATGATACGACATCGGTGTGTTCGTGAATCACGGTTTCATTGTGGCCGAGAGCCTAGAACCGTGATGGTGAACCTATAGCACGCGTGCCACAGGTGGCACATGTAGCCATATCTGTGAGCACGTGAGCTCAGCGCCAGCTGATTTTCGGCCCTTCTGGGCCCACTGGAAGTAGGGAAACAGGCAGTTTCCGGTCTCCGGAGGGCCTCTGCAAGGGGGGGGGAATAGGGAAGGCTCCCCAAGCTCCTAGAAAGGCTCCGGAGGCTGGGGAGAACACTAAACGGGACTTCGGGTCCCACCGGAAGTTGGCAAAAAGGCCATTTCCGGCCTCCGGAGGGCGTCCAGAGGGGTGGGGAAGGCCATTTTTGCCCTCCCCAAGTTCCTAGAAAGGCTCTGGAGCCTGGGGGGAGAGAAAAACGGGCCTACCAGGCCCACCGTGCCATCGCGTGCAAGGAGCGGGGGGGGGGGGCGGAGAGCAGGGTGAACGGGAGGTCACACATGCATGCGTGGGGTGGGGCGCATAGAATAATGGGTGTGGGCACACGTGCGCGTGACCCCCCCCCTCTTGGCCCCTGGCACGCGATGGCAAAAAGGCTAGCCATCACTGTCCTAGAAACTGCGGAGTACAGGCAGTCCTCGACTTACGACCACCACGGAGCCCAAAGTCCTTGTTGCTAAGCAAAACATTAAGTGAGTTAACTTAACAATTTTACAATCCTTCTTGCTAGTGTTGCTAAATGAATCACCGGAGTTAAATTAGTCAAACTTTTGTTAAGCGAATCTGGCTCCCCCCGCCCCCCCCCCATGGACTTTGTGTGTCAGAAGGTCACAAAAGGGGTTCACGTGACACCGGGACACTGCCACCGTCGTAAATACAAGTCAGTCCTAAAGTTGCCAAGATTGGATATCCCTGGATACCACACTACCGGATGGAGCTCAGGAGTGGTACCAGAGGTGGTATTCAGCCGGTTCGGACCGGTTCAGGCGAATCGGTAGTGGCGACCTAGGGGTGGGGCCCATCCACCTGCCTGGGCGCAATCCCAGGGATGAAATGCTCCCGGGTGGGACCAGATTGCCCGATCCGGTAGCGATCGTGGCGGGTGGTTCGGAGAACCAGTAGCGATCCTGGAGCGAGACTCCGCCCTCCCGCCCGGTTGTCGTTACTTCCTGGTATTAACCAGGAAGTAATGTGTTTTGTACCCTCTGCACATTCAGGGGTACATGCCAGAACCGGTAGTTAAATATGCTTTAAAAAGTAAAAAAAAAAAAAAAAAAAAGTTCCGACGATCCTGCATCGCTCAGCTGATCGTCGGAACTGTTTTTAAAAACTTTTTAGGCATTTTTTTTACTACTGGCTCCGGAGTATAGGTAGTAAAAAAACACTTTTAAAAGGTAAAAAAAAAGGCTCCAAGGATCACAGCTGTGGCGCATGATCATCGGAACCTTTTTTTTTAAGGGGGTGGGGTGGGGGTCCGTTTTTGCTCCCAGCAGGCTTTCCTGAAGCCTGCTAGGTCAAAAAAAAAGGGGGGGTAGGCAAAAAATGGGGTTTGGGGGGTGCGTTTTTGAGAGAGAGAGAGAGAGAGAGAGAGAGAGAGAGAGAGAGAGAGAGAGAGAGAGAGAGAGAGAGAGAGAGAGAGAGAGAGAGAAAGAAAGAAAGAACAAAAGAAAGAAAGAAAGAAAGAAAGAAAGAAAGAAAGAAAGAAAGAAAGAAAGAAAGAAAGAAAGAAGGAAGGAAGAAGGGAGGGAGGGAGGGAGGGAGAGAGGGAAGGAGAGAGGGAAGGAGGGAAGGAAAGAAAAAGGAGAGGAAGGAACTTCCTTGTTAACTTGTCTGCTTCTGCATACTCCAGCACCTTTTTTATAATCATTGTGTTTGTTGGAGCATGTTGTTGTTTCCAGTTTTGGGCAAATGAAATTCTAGCGGCCGTAATTATGTGGAGTATAACGTATTGAATTTCTTTTTTTTTTGTTTTGTTTTATAATTCAGGATTCATATCAATTTTTTTTCCAGTGATTTCCTCCAACCATTTTTTAATTTTAAGCCAATATTCTCTTGCTTTGGGACACATCCACCACATGTGGTAGTATGTCCCTTGTGATTAATTACATTTCCAACAGTGGAAATGTATTATTATTATTATACATTTTCCTTTTTTATACATCACGTTTGCATTTCTGCAACGACAGTGTATTGTCCATATCAAATCTCTTTTGAAGACACATAATATTATACACCATAATTACAGCCACTGTTCTCATGATATATGCAATATAATCTTCAATTCTGGTCGTTCTATACAATTTAATCTATAATCAAATGTAATCCAATAATAATATTGCTTATAGTGTTATGTTTATATATATATATCTATATATCTGTTTTCCTTTCCTTTCCTTTTGCATATATCTATATATACATTAACCTCTATTTTATTGATCATCCTTAATTATAAATTTACTAACTTCTGCTTCTGTTTTCTAACCGTTTGTAAAATGAGTCCCATGTTAAATAGTACTGTTTCCTCTTTATCCTTAATTTTCATAGTTCACCTGTCCATTTCGGCGCAATCTAGTATTTTCTTTATTCCATTTTCATCTATAGGTATACTTTCATTTTTGAAAATGAAAATAAATAAAGTAAATAAAAAACCAAAATAAAAGGCCATTTTGACTACGCGCATTTTATTGGGCTGGCTGGAACCCAGCGTCTCCCCACATCTGCCACTCCAGATCTGGCACCGTGACTGGAAGCTTTTGACGAAGCTTAAGAGAGGCAAGGCGCTCACAGCATGTTAATCGCCCGAGCACCAAATGGGTTGAGAAGCACTTGAGGAGCAGTTTTGCATAAACCGTCCAAAAATGACTTTCCTAATCTGGGCCTCAGCCCCGATCCATCTGGGCTGGACTCCCACCAGGCCTCTCCAACACCAAGCACGCTAGAGGCCATCTTCCTTTTTTTTGCCCCCTGCTTGCCCGACGCCCGCTGGAAATCCCAAAGAAGGAATGGCATTTCCTTCTGCTTGTGACTGTAGTGAAAGCTAGGGGTATGGATTTCGGATACAGCGATCCAGTGTTATATAGAGGGGAGAGGAGGGGAGAAAGGGAGGGAGAGGGGAGGAAAGGGGGAGGGCGAAGAGAGGGCAGGGAAGTAGAAGGAGGGAGAGGGAAGGGGAGGACAGGACAGGAGAAGGGGAGAGGAGAGGAGAGGAGAAGAGAAGAGGAGAGAGGAGAGGAGAAGAGAAGAGAGGAGGAGAAGGGAGAGGAGAGGAGAGGAGAGGGGAGGGGTGAAGGGAGAGGAGAGGAGAGAAAGGAGAGGGGAAGGGAGAGGAGAGAAGAGAGAGGAAGAGGGAGAGGAGAGGGCAGAAGAGAAAGGAGAGATAAGATAGGGGAGGGGAGAGGAGAGGAGAGGAGGAGGGAGAGAAGAGAAGGGAGAGGAAAAGGGAGAGGAAAGGAGAGGGGAGAGGAGGAAGGAGAGAGGAAAGGAGAGAAGAGGAGAGGAAGAGGAAGAGGAGAGGACAGGAGAAGAGAAGAGAAGAGAGAGGGGAGGGGAAAGAGTTATGGTAGGGAAGGAAAGGAAAGGAAGGGAATGGGGAAAAAGGAGAGGAGAGGAGAGGGAAGGGGAGGGGAGAGGAAGAGGAGAGGACAGGAGAAGAGAAGAGAAGAGAAGAGAAGAGAAGAGAAGAGAAGAGAAGAGAAGAGAAGAGAAGAGAAGAGAAGAGAAGAGAAGAGAAGAGAGAAGAGAAGAGAAGAGAAGAAGTTATGAACAAGTATGTGGGTGATACCAAGTCAAGCTCCTTGCACATCATACAATATTCTGGCACACAAAAGGCAGTTAACAGGTGAGCCAAGTCAGGACCTTACCTGAGGCCATCACAAATCCCGTTCAGGGCCGGAGCCGAGGAGCCTGGTCCCATCAGGGCTTCCCCCATCAGCCCGTCTTCCGGATTGCCAGCGCGGGTTTTAAACCTGCAAGGAAAACAGAGACCCTCCTCACCATGTGCAGGCTCAAATATCGAAGAAACTATATGTGCTTTTGTCCCGTCTTTTTTACTCCCATTTTATAAGGTAAGCATATTGAGGTTTTGAAATAACAGACATATTTCTCCGAGAGGAAACTCCACCAAACTCCACCTTCAAAGGAGAGACTTCAGGATAAGGACCAGAGGGCAGGACAAGGAACAATGGATGGAAACTAACCAAGGAGAGAAGGAATTTGGAACTAAGGAGACGTTTCCTAATGGTGAGGACAATTAAACAGTGGAACTGCTTGCCACCAGAAGTTGTGGGTGCTTTTCATCACTGGAAGGTTTTAAGAAGAGACCGGATAGCCACCTGTCTGGAATGGTAGAGGGTCTCCTGCTTGAGAAGGGGCTGGACTAGAAGACCTCCAAGGTCCCTTCCAGCTCTATTCCGATTGATAAAACTCTTCTAAATGTATTTTTCCCAGCGGCTGGAGAATGCTGGGGGGTTGAAGTCCACGTGGAAGTTCAAGTTAATGGAGAAGGTGCTACGGAAAATGTTCAAGAATTGCTGGAAGCCTGGCGCTCAGCCAAGTCAGCCATCAACAGGCAATTAGAGATAAACAACATGTACATACCCTTCGAAAGAGACAATAAAACAAAACGAAACAAAGAGAACAAAAGAGACTAGTATATAAACATAGAGAAAACCTCACTTCCTTCTAGCCCTGATGATGTTCCTTAGTTGGGTCATGAAATGTCTGCAAGAAAACCACTAAGCTCAGAGAGCGCCAAGGACCCCACAGTTCAACCCTAAGATGCAGATTTTCTCTTCTGTTGTAGAATGACAGAGAAAAAAAGCATGTGTGTCTAATAGGAGAGGAAACACCATTCTTTTGTATCACTGATGATGTTCCCTAGTTGGGTCATGAAACGTCTGCAAGAAAACCACCAAGCTCAGAGAGGATCCAGGACCCCAAAGTTGCTCACACTGAGAAATGCCCTTCTAGCAGACGGGCTCTGGTCCATGTTGTTGTTGTTCCCGTTATCACTATCACAATTGCCGTTGGGGGTCTAATTAGAGGCCAACACATAACGCTGCCTCTAAACTGAGTGCAAGTGTCCTTGTGAGTGGGTGCCTGCACACACACACAGAGAATATTGATCCAAACTTCAAAACCGGTCAAGGGAGTTGTGTAAAACAAACAAAACGGACGGTACAAGGTAGCTAGATTTTTTGCCTCTACCTATCTCCTATCTTTCTCCCAGCAGTGAGAAGCCTCCCCACCAAGAGAGTTAAAAAGAAGAAGAAGAAAGAGAGAGGCTGAGAGGGAGGGAGGGAGGGACAAGGAGATGGGGAAGAGAGAGAATGAGGGACAGACAGAGAGAGAGAGGGAGGGGAAAGAGGCAGAGGGAGAGAGAGAAACAGAGGAAGAGAGAGAGACAGAGGAAGAGGGACAGGGACAGGAATAGATATAGAGAGAGGGAGGGAGAGAGAGACTAAGAGGGAGAGATGGAGAGAAAGAGAAAGAGAGACACAGAGGAAGAGTGAGGGAGAAACAGACGGAAAGGGAGACAGAGGGAGAGGGAGAGAGAGGGACGGAGAGAGAGAGACAGAGGAAGAGGGAGAGAGAGACGGACAAGGATATATATAGAGAGAGGGAAAGACTAAGAGAGAGAGAGATGGAAATAAAGAGAAAGAAGGGGAGAGACAGAGGAAGAGGGAGGGAGAAAAACAGGGAGAGACAGACGGAAAGGGAGAGAGAAACAAAGAGGGAGAGACAAGTGGAAAGGGAGGGAGGGAGGAGAAGAGAGAGAGGGACAAGGATATATATATAGAGAGAGAAAGACTAAGAGAGAGAGATGGAGATAAAGAGAGAGACAGAGGGGGAGAGACAGAGGAAGAGGGAGGGAGAAAGACAGGGAGAGACAGACGGAAAGGGAGAGAGAAACAAAGAGGGAGAGACAGGTGGAAAGGGAGGGAGGGAGGGAGAAGGAGGGAGGGGGAGAGAGAAAGGGAGTGGGCTGGAAAAGGGGGGAGAAAAAGAGTGGGAAAGAAAAGGAGAGGGAGATAGATGCAGGGAGGGAGGGAGGAGAGAGAGAGAGGGAGAGAGAGAGAGAGAGAGAGAGAGAGAGAGAGAGAGAGAGAGAGAGAGAGAGAGAGGGAGGGAGAGAGAGAGAGAGACAGAGACACTCCACGTATCCTAAAACGAAGCTAGAATCTAGCTATCAGTCCTATCGGTGTGGAGAGAGACCCATCTATCCTCTGTGAACTTAAGTCCATCAAACCGCGGGAAGGCGCTGAGCAGACACAATAAAGGCCACCTCAAGTCCCCCTTTGGACGCCAGCAGCGTCTCCATCCCCTCGTCCTTTGCAGAAGGTGCAATCTTCTCAGCAGACTTCCGATGGAGCATCCGGAAAGAGGAGGAGGAGAAGGGAAACAAATTCGCCGAGACCCAGCAGAGAGTCCTGCGGCTGGACAGCAGGGTCCCCGCTGAGCGCTCTGAGCCGGCTTGAAAAACAAACCCCCCTCCCCTCCCCAGCCCTTCGCCCTCCCTCTCCTCTCCCGCCTCCCTTCCACCGAAAGAAAGTCCCGTGTAGGGATGATTAAAGGTGGTTTTGATCGTTAAAAATCCATCTGCTCCCGCTTTGCTCTTGACCTTGGCGGGTGAACCTCCCCCACCTCCCCCCAGCCAACTTCTCAAACACTGCAGCTCTGATAGTCTCTCATCAAACAATGGTTGGAAATAAACCAGAGTTAAGAGAGTTCGGGGCTGCAGGGCGTCAGGGAGGGGGACTTTCAGCTCTGGGTGTGTTGTGGCCCGTCAGCGGCCTGTGCAGCTAGTAGCTGATTCCGACAGCGAGGAGGCTGGTGTGGTGCTGCGCCAGCAGCCTGTGCAGCTGGCACTTGAGTCAGACAATGAGGAGGCTGGAGAAGATGTGGTGCCAGAGTTGGAAGGAGATTCAGCCAGGGCCTTCAGAGCCTCCAGAAGCTCCCATAAGTGAAGAGGACGAAGAGGAGGAGCCTCTTCTCGATGCACGGGCGCGCAGAGCTGCCAAAAGGCAGGAGTGGTTACTCAGGAGGAGGTCTCCTCGAGAGTAAGGCTTGGGGCTAATTGGCCACTCCCTTAGCCTATTTAAGGAGGAACGCTGACTGAAGCAATTTGCAGGGAACAACTTTAGTTTACTCTCCTTCGCGTCTGGATTCTCTGCAAAATTGTTTCTGGGTTTTCTGCCAACTCTAGTAAGACTATGATTACCTTATCTTAGAATTCTGGTAGGCTGTTAATACAGTTTATTAACAGCCTTTGGTTGATAAAGACAGAGTTATTTGAGTAAAATAAGCTTTGTATAGTTTGTATGTGCTGCGTTCTTTGGGGTCTGTAGCTGGGGCAGAACAGGGTGGTGGCGACGATGATGTGCGGATTGTGGCTTAAAGCCAGTAAGACGGTTCAACCAGATGAACGATTGAGGGAATGTGCTGCTATACACACACAGACAGACACACACGCGTGCATGGCAAGGGTTCTGCAGGTGTTTATTCAAACCCTCCAAACAGGTCACCACGCTGCAAAAAAGATGTTGAGACTTTGGGAAAAAGTTCAGAGAAGAGCAATTAAGAGGACTAAAAGCCTGGAGACTAAAACCTATGAAGAACAGCTGCAGGATTTAGGTTTGGATAGTCTAGAGCAGTGATGGCTAACCTTTTTGCCATCGCGTGCCAGGAGAGGGGGGGCGGGGGAGGGTCGCCCACGCACGTGCCCACGCACATGCGTGCGCAACCTCCTCCCCCCCCCCCGTTCCTGGCACATGATGGCCTGGTAGGCCCGTTTTTCCTTCTTACCTGGCTCCAGATCCTCTCTATGTATCTAGGAAGGGCGAAAACAGCCTTTCCCACTCCCTTGGAGGCCCTACGGAGGCTGAAAGGGCCCATTCCCCACTCCTGGTGGGACAGGAAGTGACGTTTTTTGCTGTCCCCAGCCTCCAGAAACTCTCTAGGAGTCTCTAGGAGCCTCTCTAGGAGTCTGTAGGAGCCTCTCTAGGAGTCTCTGGAGGCTGGGGACAGGAAAAAACGTCACTTCCTGTCGGGAAATGGGCCCTTTCAGCCTCCGTAGGGCCTCTAAGGGAGTGGGAAAGGTTGTTTTCGCCCTTCCTAGATACAGAGAGGATCTGGAGCCAGGTAAGAAAGAAAAACGGGCCTTCCCCACCCCCCCAGGCCCTCCAGAGGCAGGAAACAGCCTGTTTCCCTACTTCTGGTGGGCCCAGAAGGCCCGAAAATCAGCTGGCTGGCACGCGCATGCACCCCAGAGCTGAGCTGGCGTGCCCACTAATATGGCTCTGCGTGCCACCTGTGGCACGCCTGCCATAGGTTCGCCATCACGGGTCTAGAGAAAAGAAGGGGACATGACAGCAGCATTCCAGTATTTGAGGGGCTGCCCCAAAGAAGAAGGGGTTAAACTTATTTTCCAAAGCACCAGAAGGCAAGACAAGAAACAACGGATGGAAACTAACCAAGGACAGAAGCAACCTGGAATTAAGGAGAAACTTCCTAACACTGAGGACAATTAACCAGTGGAACAGCTTGCCACCAGAAGTTGTAGGTGCTTCATCACTGGAGGCGTTTCAGGAGAGACTGGACAGCCACCTGTCTGAAATGGTACAGGTAGTCCTCGACTTACAACAGTTCATTTGGTGACCATTCAACGGCATTGACAAATGTGACTTACAACCATTTTTCACAGTTACGACTTTTGCAGCCTCCCCTAGGTCACGTGATCAGAATCCAGATGCTCGGCAACCGGTTCGTACTTATGACGGGGTCACATGATCCCCTTTTGCAATTTTCTGACAAGCAGAGTCCACAGGGAAGCCAGATTCACTTAACAACCGGGTTGCTAACTTATCGACCTTGGTGATTCACAGAACTTCATTTTTAATGTGTGTCTGTGTGCTCAGAATAAACAACAATAAAGATAATCCTATCTTATCTTATCATCCTCTCCTCTCCCTCCCCTCCCCTATCCCTCCTCTAACACTCCCACTCCCAGTCCCACTTCACTCCCCTCCCCTCTCAAGCTATCCTACCAGGGGTGAAATGCTCCCGGTTTGGACCGGATCACCCGATCCGGTAGTGATGGCGGTGGGTGGTTCGGAGAACCAGTAGCAAAAATCCCTGCCCCCCGCCCCCCCATGCCCAGCTGAGACACACGATCATCAGAGGCTTTTTTTTTTACTTTTAAAAGCATTTTTTCTACAACCTCTTCGGTTGAAGAGGTTGTAGAAGAAAAAAAAAATGCCTTTAAAAGCCTCTGGCGATCCCAGCTGAGTTGCCTGATCGTCAGAGGCTTTTAAAAGCATTTTTTTTCTGCAACCTCTTAAGGTAGCAAAAACCAGTTTCTTATTCCCCTTTCCCAAGCTTACCGATGATACTCCCGCCTGGATTGCTGGAGCTGCTCTTGCTGCTGGAGAAGTTTGGCCTCTTGCTCCGCTAACAAATTCTGCAGACGCTCCTTCTCGATTTCCAGCTCAATTTTCTGGAGCAGGAGCTCTTTCCTTTTCTCTTCGGAGAAGTTCTGGCCGCGCTGATCGGCTTCTTTTGGTCTCGTGACATCGCCGGCCTTCGGCCTCCGAAGGTGCGGCGAGCCGAAATATTCCGAGGAGGATTCGCACGGGGCCCCCGGATATCGGTCTTGAATGTGGCAAGCGTCTTGGAAAGACTCGTGAGCCGAGTTTCTTAATTTTTGATGGAAGGGACACCCCGGAAGAGGACAGCCGTTCCTCCTCTTCTCCCCATCGGGAGTTCTCCGAAGAAGAGGAGCCAATGGCTGCGTGGCTGGAGATGCCCTGTGGTTGCATTTATGGGGCAATCCGTTTTGCAAAAGACGACCGTTCCTGGCCTCCGTCTGACCTCCGGGGGTGCCGGCCTCAAGGACGCCCCTATTCCTACCAGGTCGAGTTGAAGGTTGAAGACTAGGGCTTCTACAAGTTAAGTTGTGGTCCTTATGCAAAGTTTGTAGTCGAGCTACACCAAGGTAGGAGCCATCCATGTCTGAAGGTGGCACCAGCTGTCCATGACCTCTCTGGCTAGACATCTGTAGATAAAGAGGAAACGAAAACCACATTCAGCTTCGACAATTCCAAAATAGCACTGTTCCAATAGTTTTTTTTTTAAATATATAAATTGTATTAATTTTCTATTAATTACATTTCTTAGTATTTAATAAACATCGTGTTGTCTGGGTTTTTAATTTGTTTAGCAATACAGATTCTCAATCTCCACCCCTTTTTCTTCCAACCACTGGTAAAATAAATTCCATGTTTGATAATATTCTATGTCTTCTTTCTGTTTGATTTTCAACGCAAGTCTAATCCGTTTCTGGACAATCTAGTATCTTCTGAACTATCGCCTCGTCTTGCGGTGTTTCTTCACTTTTCCAATATTGTGCGAAGATAATCCTCGCTGCTGTTAAGACGTGTAATATTTAAATACATACTTTTCCTATCAATTTTTTTCCTGATATTATCCCTAATAAAAACAGTTCAGGTTTAAAGTCTACATGTTTCCCTATTATCTTTTCTAGCCATCTGCCACCACATATGATAAAATGTGCCCGTTTTTTTTTATTGCATTTCCAATATTTGCTAGACATATTTTTAAACATTTTAGCTAACCTGGCAGGTGGTAAATGCCAGCCGTGTTCTAATATTTGAGGGGCTGCCCAGAGAAGGGGAGGGGGGGTGTCAACCTATTCTTCAAAGCTCCTGAAGGCAGGAGAAGAAGCAATGGATGGAAACTAAACAAGGAGAGAAGCAACCTAGAACTAAGGAGAAACTTCCTGACAGTGAGAACAATCAATTAGTGGAACAATTTGCCTCCAGAAGTTGTGAATGCTCCAACACTGGAAGTTTTTAAGAAGAGATTAGACAAGAAGTTGTCTGAAATGGTATAAGGTCTCGTGCTTGAGGAGGGGGGTTGGACTAGGAGACATCCAAGACCTCTTGAGGGAAACCAATCAAGGAAAGATCCAGCCTCTGTTAGGCTGTATTAACAGAGAGTTGGGATCAAAATCGCGCAAAGTATTGATACCAGATAATGCCTTGATAAGACCACACTTGGAATACTGCATCCAGTTTTCGTTCCCAAGATATAAAAATAGGCTGATATTCTAGAAAGAGTGGAGAGAAGAGCAACAAAGATAATTAAAGGCCTGGAGACTAAAACATACGAAGAACAGTTGCAGGATTTGGGTTTGGCTAGGTTAAGAGGAAATAAGGAATGTAGGGGGAGACATGATATCAGTAGTCCAGTATTTGAGGGGCTGCCACAAAGAGGAAAGGGGTCAACCTAAGATTTGCTCCAAGATTTGAGGGGATGCAAACTCATCAAGGAGAGAAGCAACCTGGAATTAAGGAGAAACTTCCTAACATTGAGGACAATTAACCAGTGGAACAGCTTGCCACAAGAGGTTGTACGTGTTTCAGCACTGGAGGCTTTCCAGAAGAGACAGGACAGCCACCTGTCTGAAATGGTTCAGGTAGTCCTCGACTTACAACAGTTCATTTTGGTGAGCATTCGAAGTTACAACGGCATTGAAAAATGTGACTTACAAACCATTTTTCACAGTTACGACTTTTGCAGCCTCCCCGTGGTCACATGATCAGAATTCAGATCAGTGGTGAAATGTAAAATGTGTTACTACCGGTTCTGTGGGCGTGGCTTGGTGGTGGTGGGGGTAATATGACTGAGTGGACGTGGCCAACTATTTTTTTTTTTTTACCTTTACTTTTAAAACTATTTTTTATACAACCTCTTTGGCTGAAGAGGTTGTAAAAAAAATGCTTTTAAAGCCTCTGACGATCCCAGCTGACTTGCCTGATTGGTGGAAGCTTTTTTTTTTTTAAAAAAAGCCTCTGACGATCCCAGCTGAGCTATGCGATCATCAGAGGCTTTTTTTTTTAACTTTTAAAAGCATTTTTTGGCCGAAGAGGTTGTAGAAAAAATGCTTTTAAAAATAAAAAAAAAGCCTCTGATGATTGCACGGCTCAGCTGGGCAATGGGGGAGGGGCCAGGGATTTTTGCTACCGGTTCTCCGAACCACCCGCAGCCATCGCTACCGGATCGGGCGATCCGGTCTGAACCGGGAGCATTTCACCCGATTCAGATGCTTGGCAACCGGTTCGTATTTATGACAATCGCAGTTCCTCGGGGTCACGTGATCCCTTTTTGCAACCTTCGGACCTGCAAAGTCCATAGGGAAGCCAGATTCATTTAACAACCGGGTTGCTAACTTATCGACTGCGGTGATTCACTTAACGGTGAGCAGAAAAGTTGTAAAATGGGCCGAAATGCACTTAATGAATATCTCACTTAACAGCAGAAATTCTGGGCTCGTAATTGTGATCGTAGGTCGAGGACTACCGGTATGGGGTTTTCTGTTTGAGCAACGGGTCTGACTAGAAGACCTCCAAGGTCCCTTCCAACTCCATTATTCTGTTAAAATCTTGTCTATGGTTCCTTGGCTAGTTCTTGTCCGTGATTTATAAGGCAATTTTTTAAAAAAACAACAACAAAGATACAGAAATGAAATGGTTTGATTATCAAGAGCCAGCACCTCCCCAGTCCATCGTTTCCAAGCGAAAGAGAGGAACGTGCTATCAAATCTGCAATTTAATTCCGTCTACACAGGTACAAATAAATATAAAAGCATCGCCTGCAGGATCCGGGGTATAAACAAGGCACTTCAGCCTATCCAGGAATTGCGAGTATCTAGGGTTACATAAAATCAACTTGAAGTGTGGCGGGGGGGAAAAAAAAAGGAAAGAAAAGACAAGCCATTAAATGTTAATGCCTGAAAAATGTTTAATTTTGAATAACGGAGCCAGGAAATCCATTCTACCCCTTATAAATACCGTCTGATTGGCCATTACACAGCGGGGAATTCGAGGTAAAAACGTTTCACCTTGTACTGAATGGGATATTACTTAACTGTTGGAAATTTGAATATATATGTGTGTGTGTGTGTGTGTGTGTGTGTCTTTTTCGTAGGCTTTTATGTGCATATTCTTTCTAGCCAGGTTTTACCTACGTAAGCTAAGGTGTTCCACAGCCCTGGTTCTGTGAAATCTCATTCACAAGTTTCTGGGCTTTTTGTATCTTGCTGAAAAGCAACAACTCTCCCAAATTGCAGCACAGAGTTGTTGCTTTTCAGCAAGATACAAAAAGCCCAGAAACTTGTGAATGAGATTTCACAGAATTAGGGCTGTGGAACATCTTAGCTTACATAGGTAAAACTAATCAAATGGGATAAATATCCCATTCAGTACAAGGTGAAATGTTTTTACATACATATAGATATACATATACAGATAGAGATATAGATAGATAGATATAGATGAGATGATAGACAGACAGACAGATAGATAGAGGCAGACAGATGAGAAAGATGAGATAGACAGATAGATACACACCTAACATCAAAATCGTCATCAAAAAAGCACTTCAAAGAATGTTCTTTCTGCGCCAACTCAGGAAGCTCAAACTGCCCAAGGAGCTGCTGATCCAGTTCTACAGAGGAATTATGGAGTCTGTCATCTGCACCTCTAATAACTCTCTGGTTTGTCTCTGCAACCCAACAAGACAGACGGAGACTTCAGAGGATCATTAGAACGGCAGAAAAAACCATGGCTACCAACCTGCCTTCCATTGAGGACCTGTATACTGACGAGTCAAAAAGAGGGCTGGGAAAATATCTACAGACCCCTCGCATCCTGGACATAAACTGTTTCAACTCCTACCCTCAAAACGACGCTATAGAGGACTGCACACCAGAACAATTAGACACAAGGACAGTTTTTTCCCCGAACGCCATCACTCTGCTAAACGAATAATTCCCTCAACACTGTCAAAGTAGTTACTAAGTCTGCACTACTATTAATTTTCTCATCGTTCCCATCACCCATCTCCTCCCACTTATGACTGTATGACTGTAATTTTATTGCTTGTATCCTTACGAGTTATATTGATATTGTTTCCTGATTGCTTATTTGTACCCTATGACTATCATTAAGTGTTGTACCTTATGGTTCTTGATAAATGTATCTTGTCTTTTTATGTACATTGAGAGCTTATGCACCAAGACAAATTCCTTGTGTGTCCAATCACACTTAGCCAGTAAAGAATTCTATTCTATTCTATTCCATTCCATTCTTCTATTCTATTCCACATTTTCTATTCTATTCTACTGTATTCTATTCCATTCTATTCCTTATTCTATTCTATCCCATATTTTCTTTTCTATTCTATTCCATTCTATTCCCTATTCTCTTCTCTTCTATTCCATATTTTCTCCTTTCCTTTCTCCTTTCCTTTCTCCCTCTCTGTCCCTTCTTTCCTTCTGCTTTCTTTCCTTCTTCCTTTCCTTCATTCCTCCTTTCCTTTCTTCTTTCTCCCTCCCTTTCTTTTCTTCCTTCTTTCCTTCCTTCCTTTCCTTTCTCCCTCGCCATCCCTTCTTTCCTTCTGCTTTCTTTCTTTCCTTCCTTCCTTTCCTTCCTTCCTCCTTTCCTTTCTTCTTTCTCTCTCCTTTCTTTTCTTTTCTTCCTTCCTCCTTTCCTTTCTCTCCTCCTTTCCTTCTGCTTTCTTTCTTTCCTTTTTTCTTTCCTTCCTCCTTTCCTTTCTACCTCCCTTTCTTTTCTTCCTTCTTTCCTTTCTTCCTTTCTTCTCTTCCTCCTTTTCTTTCTCCCTCTCCATTCCTTCTTTCCTTCTGCTTTCTTTTCCTTCCTTTTTTCCTTCCTTCCTTCCCTTCCTTCCTTCCTTTTCTTCCCTTCCTCCTTTCTTTCTCTCTCCTTCTTTCCTTCTGCTTTCTTTCTTTCCTTCCTTCCTTCCTTCCTTCCTTCCTTCCTCCTTTCCTTTCTCCCTCCCTTTCTTTCTTTCTCTTCCTTCTTTCCTTTCCTTTTCTTTCCTTCCTTCCTTTCCTTTCCTCCCTTTTTTTCTCTTTCTCTTTCTCTTTTCTTCCTTCCTTCCTTCCTTTGTCCCACAGAGTCCAATCCCTGTCGCTTACGGGCAGGAAAATGACGAGGGAAAAATATAACTCAC